CACAGAAATGAGTGAGAACTGGGCTGAGGGTTGAGGTCGCTAAGCCCATCCCCACGTAATACAGGAATCAAGGTGTTTCTTTTATCGCTGAGTCTGTAGCAAATTTGTCCTCATATCTGATACTTCACTGACCTTTTGTTAAAGTTACATATCCCTGTGGTCTCACAATGAGCTGGATTATTTACCAGTTTAACCAGGAATACACTGGCGCTTACTGAATACTTACTCGGTAAACTCTAGATTGCCTGTCTCGTATACCGTAGATCTTGGAGCCAACCCTGGAAAGCAGGCATCTTTATTCTCATCTTATACACAAGAAAACCAGCTTAGGTTAAGTTCCTCTACTACCCCTTGCCCTCCTGCTAGTTAGTGGCAGAATTCAGAATTACCTTTAGAGCCTCTTAGAGGCGTTGAACTTCCAGAGATTCGAGATCTGGAAAAACAAGAAACAGTTCCTTCTTTAGAGTGCGTTAGAATTTGTAAAGTGACATTTCTTGTTTCTCTTGAGTTTCATGACCACTCTGTGGGGGGGGAAGAGTAACTCTTATCCCCGTTCCTGGCTAAGGCTAGTCTGAGAATTGCACCCAGCTTCTGATCCGTGTGGCATGGGGCTGGAGCTCCGGCTTTCCCGTTAGCATTTGCTGTCTTATCACTGTAGAAATGTGTCTCATGTGCTGGCAATGAGGGAAGGTGGCGTATGTGGGCCCTCCAGAAGGAGTGAAGGTGACAAAGGCGGGGTGCACGGGTGGTCGTGGTGCTGTTGGCGGGTGCTCGTGAAATCTTCTGGGGCACTTTGTCCCCATGGAGAGACCATCTCCAGTTAGCATGTGTGGGATTTAGAATTATTAGGTTAGAGAGAGGCTAGTCTCCTGCTGTTCCCCATTATCCCAGACGCCTCCTGGAAATCATTACCTAACCAAGTGAATGTCCGTACTCAGTAAGACTGTGGAATTTGAACATTCCTTACTCTTTGGCTCCATGCTTGAAAAATTCTAGATAAACCCAGACCAAATGAATTCATTAGATTTGTCTTTAAACCTGCAGAAAGTTCTTTACTTAGAGCCACCCCCGTAACCCACCCGTCCTCACTCATGTGTTTATTCAGATGCATGTACTGTCTATGCCACACTAAATAGCGAAGACTTTTCTGATTCAATGTCAAGATTACAGTATGTTGGGAGGGAAATTCTCTGACTTTCATTTCTTTCTATAATATTTTTATAACCAATGAGATATAAACCATACAAATTTTTTGGAGAATTTCCTTTATCTTTTTATTTTAAAGTAATTTTAGACAAAGAAATGTGGCAAAAACAGTACAGATGATTCTCTTCTAACCCTATCCCTCCTTCTCCTCTACTCCTGAAATAATGTTACTATTTTGTAACCACAGTGTTACTATCAGCAACAGGAAATTAACATCGGCACCATGCTATTGATTCCACTTATTTGAATTTTGCCTATTTTTCTACCAATGTCTCCTCCCTGTCTTGGGATCCCAACTTCTTTTAGATGTTAGTGCTCCTTAATCCCCTCTGGTCTGTAACATTTCCTCCGTCTTTCCTGGTTGGTCATGACCTTGATTTCAAGGATTATCGGTCAGCTGTTCTGTAAAGTGTGCCTCAGTTTGGGTTTGTCTGGTGTTTTCTCATGGCTGAAGTGAAGTTATGCCTTTCAAGCGAAAATACCACATATATGACGCATTTTTCTAACTTTGTTCTGTGCTTATTGGTTGGGATTACTCATGAGGAAGAGCTGCTGTATGTATTTGATTATTACGTATATCAGCGTAGACCTATGAATATGGATTTTATTCTCTGGGTTAATCTGGTACTATTATTGATGATTTTGTTGCTCAGATGTCTCTAGCTTTAGCCATGAGGATCTCCTTCAGGTTGGCTTTGCATTCTTTGAACTAGTCTCTGTCTTTTTTGAGTGTTTCCTCACTTTCTGGACCTATAAGTTGTTCCAGACCCATCCTGTATTTTCTGTTCCAGCCCAGATACCATTACATCTCCTAGGAGCCCTATTTACTTTTATTGGATGATGGTGCTTAGAGAACAAGATATGGGCAGTGGGTGTGCTCATTATTGCTGGGGTCATTGGTTCTAGGCCTCTCTGTGAACACAGCAAGGACATACATGTATGCACACTGGCCCCTGGATACACATACATCTACATTTTGGATGTATGTGTGTCTGCATTCGAAATCATGAGTTAGTACTGATACCTCTGATTCCAGGCCAACTTCACACAGTTGATTTTAGCCTTCCTCTTTTCCTTGTAATCTGTTTTTCTGACAGTAAGAAAACTGGCTCTCATTATCTCCCCTATATTTTTATATTTGCAGAGCAGTTGAATTCCAGCACACACAGAAAGTAGTTTCAGAACTGCTAGCCTATAATCCTCCGAAGTTTTTGTCTTTAGCTTTATGGTAACCGGTCACGATACTGTTTCCCAAAGCCGTTTAGGTCAATCCTTTCTTCCATGTAATTTTGTGTTTCATTGACAATAGGGTTTTGCTCTGTTGTGGTGTTGCTATTCCTTTTTGGGTTCCCCCACATACTGATTGTTTTTAATTGTTAGTTTTATTTTTGGAGCATGAAAAAAGTAAGTGAAACCCTACAATGCTCTAAGACTGGGCGTTATACCCAGAGAAGTGCTTCTCCTTCCTTATCACATCACTACACATCACTAACCTCTGGTTTCTACTTTATGTTTCCTATATTTCTTTTTTTCACCAAGGAGGATATGTGCATATTTTCTTATCCCCTTTCTTATAGGGTGGGTCCCATACCATAGATAGTCTGCTGAGCTTTGCATACACCATCATGAAAAACACTCCGTATCAGTTTATGGAGGTCTTCATTCTTCTTACAGCTGTGCAATAGTCCCTTCTATGGATGTACCACGGTTCCTTCAGCCACACGTTGTTGCCAGTGGTTTGTCATTACCCAGCGGCAATGAATACGGCCTTCTGCGTGTGTACGTTTGTACTGTGGGAGGCACATCCTCCCAGAAGTCTCCTGGTTTAAGAGTTAAGTGTGCACTGTATGAGGTATTGCCCAGCCTCCCTCTGGAAGAATGGCACTAGTTTTCATGCCCACCAGCAAAGTATGAGGAGGCCTTTTTCCTTCCAGACTCACCAGTACAGGGGGCCATACTTTTCTTTCTTTGGGGGAGGGGAGAAATTTCATAGGTGAAAAATGATAACTCAGTGTAGTTTCAGTCTTGATTTCTATAATTTTGCTTTGTTTGGTCCTTTTTAATACATCTGAGGACCTTTTATATCCTTTTTGTGAATTGTCTGTTCATGTCTTTTTCTCATGTTTCTATTTTTTTCTGTTTTTATTTCTCTTCTATTTTTCATATTTTGTTTCTATTCTATTTTTTTTTGGTTTTTTTTTGTAACCTCAACATTTTAGGGTATTTCTTTAATATATTATGGATGTTAGCTATTTGTCCATGATATATGATATGAATATTTTCTCCCAGTTTGTCAGTTATCTTTTGCTTGTGATGTTTTTGTTACGTGAAAAATTTAAAAATTTTTACATGGTCAAATGTGTCACTCTTTAATTGCTTCTGGATTCTGAGTCCTCCTTAGAAAGCCTTTCCCTACCCACAGTTAAAGAGGAAATGGCCCACATCATGAAAATACTTTGAAACATTAAAAATGAACACATGGTAGGGTTTGTTAAAATTCATTCAAAACCAGGAAGGTTAAGACCCCTCCCTCACTCTTCTAACTGCCCAGTTGTCAGTCTTTCCAGCTGAGTCCTACTATCATTGCCATCCGTTACTTAGCACCTAATCACCCCATCTTCAGACTTCCCTGATCTCTTTACACTCAGGGACCCCATCTAAAACAACTCTGGGGTATTGTGTACTCTCTCACCTTTCCCAACACTTTTCACTCTGAAGTGTATTCTGTTTTGTTCTGGTGATTTTAGTAAGCAGTTACTTTGGAATTTTCTGCTGATTCAAGTGCAGAATCTGTACCAGCACTTTACCTGCCTTCCCTCTTGCCTCAACTCCTTTGTTCAAGCAGCTCCTAAAATTTAGCATCTTCTTTTTCCAAAGACCATTCAGCCACAGCCTCTCAGTTGATGAATAAGTGCATTCGTAGCTATGCCTTCTGCATAAGGCCTATCACAGCCAAGAGATAGGGTATGAACCTTACAGAGTCTGATCCATCCAGCAGAACACACATCATATGTCATGTGAAAGAAATATGAAAATGAATCTTTTCCATATGTTGTAGAAAACAGTAGTAGCTACAAAATATACTGAAATATTTTATACTTATAAAATTGTTGAGTTTTTTTTTAATTCTTTCATTATGACTTCTTCATTATCACATTTATTTAAGTATATAAGATGGATTTTGTTAGAATAGTATTTTGCATGTCAATAAATTAAGAATGAAAAATCTAAATGGTGTTTGAAAGGGAAAAAACCTTTCTCTCAATCTTCCCCTCTCCCCTTCCCTCTCTTACTCTCTCCCTCCCTTCCTCCTTCCCTCCTTCCCAACACAAACTGAAGTGTGGAATCTCTCCTCGGGCTGCTGGTTTGGGAAGGTCAGAATGACCTAGCGTTATGCTTAGAAAAAAAACGATCCACTGGCAAAGCCCACGATGGAGATAGAAATCGTGGTGACTTGTTACTTTATAGCCATGCATTTCCATTTTTAATGTTGACTGGTGTGGCTATTTTGATAATCGATCTACAGATGTCTCTGCACGTTGTCTCTTAAGAAACATTTACTATCTGGGTTAAGCAGTGATGGGCCTGTTTCAGCTTCATGTAAGTCATGTACATCTGAAGGAACCTAATGGAGGCTGAGACAGTATTTAATAACACAAGCTCTTGAAATTCACACAGTGGAAGAGGAGAGTAAGTTAAAGCTGGAGGATAAACACAAAGCATTCTTGTTTCCCACCATGTTGATTGATGGATTGATTGATTGATTATTTTTCTGTGTATTTGTTTTCTTTCAGGGACCCTCAAAGTCTGGACCCACCGGAAGTGAGCAATGCGAAACTTCAGTACGCAGGCTGGGGTCCAAAAGGCCAGCAGCTGGTAAGCCAGTCAAGCTCGGGGACCAGGTTCGAACTTGACGAAGTTTACACATTAGAGGCTGAATCTGTCTCAGGACACTTGATGTCTGAGTTTGTAGGAGTCACGTTTTGGAAAAGGACACCAGAATATTTGCGTGTGTAACATGGCCATTTGTTAGAGAAGCGTCTTGAAATTGGGACAGTGTGCTGTGGTTCCCAGATCTGATACCCTGAAATCCCGATACCCCAACTGTAGCTGTGTGGGGATCGCAGACTCACTGTGAGGTCAGGGGGATAAGTCTGGTCAAAGGGACTGTCAATAGGAATTAGCAGAATCGCGGTATCATTGGGAGTTTCTAGTCCTGAGTGTGGTCCTCACCCTCAGCTGTCAGGCTGCAGGCCGCGGCCCCCATGCTGAGTGAAAGGGGGAGTAAGACTCTCTCCCAGTGTGCCCCAGCGCCAGCATCACGGACATCTTCTCCCGGGAGGTTGCCGCGCCCCCTGCAGGAAGCCCCTGCCAGCTGCGGTCAGGTGACGTGACCGGGTCCCGCTCACCGAGCCCTCCTGCATCTTGATGCTGATTCCGTAAAGCTGCGTCTCAAAAACTTTTCCTAAAATCACACAGAAAATGATTATTTTCAAAAGCTTGGGGTGAGATGGTATTGGACAGTCCGTCTTCTGTCTTGGGAATTAAAATGGCCCTATTCTTCCCAGTGGTACGATTATAGCCCCTTGGGTGCACGTTCCATTGCCTTGAAACGGTTTAACGAAACGGGAGGATGTGGGCCACAGAGCTGTCCTGGCTGTCACCACGGGCCCCCAGCACCAGACACGCGGTCATCAGGATCCGGAAAGCTCGTCTGCCAATGGGAGTCAGCCAGTGAGGGGAGGCCGGGAGGCAGAGGACACTGATCCGCCCATCAGAGCAAGGAGACCAAGCTCGCCTTTCCTCAGCGGCTCTACCCCCCACACAGGGGGGACCCGCAGCTTCCAGCAGGGAGCCCAGGTGTTCGAGGCTGAGTCTCCAACAGCCGATTCTAAATCCCTCGGAAATCCTGACTGAAGGTGCTTCTGGGAAGCAGATCGTACCCCCGTCCATCCAGTCCTTCCGTACAAGGGACAGGGTGCCTCCACAGAGGCCGTCCCTGCTCTCCATGATCCTTGGGTGGCCTCCTGGCCGCAGCCTCGCAGGCTGGCCTCAGAGACCATTGACTGTATGCTCATGTCACGCTTTCTAGGGGCTGGGGTGGGTCTGAGTGGTTACAGGGGCCCCACACTTGACCTCTTGAAGAGGAATTAGCTGCAAAGCCAAACTTGCATCAGCTTCTCCGAGACAGCCTCCCTGACTCCCCTCCCTGCACCGTTGGGCTCCACTTCTGGGATTTCTTGTCCCCATGTGAGCTCCCGTCCCTACAATGTCCTGGTGCCACCGACGTGTCTCACCTCCATTGGCCACCATCATCCGGGCATCTAGTCCTGGACGGGGCCTGTAGCAGATGTCTTGGACTTTGCAAGCCTGTGGGATCTTGGCCTCAACCATTCCACTTTGCTATGGTAGAAAGAAGCATTTGTAGGTCGTATCGAAGGAGATGGACATTGTTTCGTTCTGATAAAACTGTATTTGGGCCTGAAGGCAGGGGTTGCTGACCGGTGTTTTGGGGGACCGTGTGCTCTCTTGGCTGTCCTCCACTGAGCAGAGCCCGAGCCTGGGGACCAGCACCCCCGTGACAGCTGTTCCTGGGGCTCACAGCCTCGGCAACGGAGACCTGCAACCCATGAGCAGTCCTTGCAAACACTGACAAATCCCTCATTGCCATTTTACCTCAGAAAGTAAATATTGCTCCCCAAAGGCAATCTGCTCTAATTATAATGAGTCAGACTGAAGTGAGTAATTCTCCTTTGGGTACAGAGAGCACAGCTGCAGTTCAGGCTCACTAGCGAGGTTTCTGAACATCATCCCCTCCTCGTGGGGACGGATTTCAGCAACGCACTTGGCTTGGGGACCCCCTAAGAGAGGGAGATGGTGACCAGCACCAGGAGGAGGCTGATGGCACTTTCTCCCATGCCTCCCTGTGACCTCCAATTAGTGGCTGTTGGCTGCTCGGGTGACTTTGGTTGGACCTTTGGATGACATCATAGTTAATGAATCCCGCCTGACTGGCCTGTTGTCAGAGGAAAGGAGACGGCGGATGTGGGGAGGCCTCCACTGTGCGGGGAAAGTGTCTGGGATGGTGTTGGTCTGTGAGCTCCGTTCGTGATGGATGACCGCGCGCTTTCCAGAATTCGATGTACCCACCGAGCCTGAAACCAGGAAAATGGATTTGGCTAGATTCAAGGGGAATCAAGGAGAAATCGCCTGCACAGTGTTGAGGAAGTGCCTTCCCCAGCTTCCCTCACCCCATCTTTTTGTGGTCAGTGTCCATAGCCATTTGCACTGAAAACACAAGTTTTCCCCAGACTGTGTCTCTCTTCGTCTGTCCCCTGCAGATGAATCTGTCTCTGGGAGCTCTGAGTTTCTTTCCCGGGTCTTTTCATGAAGCCCAGGCCCTATGTGTGTCTGTCTGTTGATGTAAAGGCTTCTGCCGCCTGATTGGACTACGATGGCGTGTCTGTCTGGAGGCAGCCTTTCGTCCTACGTGTCACCTGCGTGAGGACGTCTAGTAACCAGAGACGCCGGGGTGGCTGGGGGACCTGCTGGGCATCTCCGACACAGCCCTGGAGGTCCGGGTTCCTGGGCATGTCTCAGCACACGGCACGCAAGCCGAGGGGACTTAGCAGCACGGTGGCACGACACCGTTTCCCTTTGGAGCCAGGGCCATGGGGACTTCTGCCAACATGACTGCATGGCATCAGCCAGCATGAGGGACTCGCAGCGGACGTCTTTGCCACTGTACTCAGGTGACCAGAGACAGGGACACTGGGTTTCTTTCCGCTTGGCCTGCTACCACAATGGTGATAAACAAACAGCTTTGAAAGGGAGACTGAGGAAGTCTGTTGGGAGTTCTTCAGGGTAGGGACAGCTTTGACATGTGACCACCGAAGAGCAGGGAGAGTCGTTGGCTGGGGACCCTGCGAGAAGGGGGACGGGAGGTGTCCTTGGCGCGCAGGGGACAGGGTGGGGGTGACCATCGGCAGAAGGCGCGGGAGATGAAGCCGACTTACTCACGGTCTCAGGGGCAGCAAGGCAGCGACGCGGACAACTGTGAGAGACTCCTGCGTCCCCCGGAGACGAAAGAATAAAATGGACTGTGTTTACCCGAAGGGGGGGTTCCAGCTACGTGGTATGAAAACTCGCCTTGCTTATGAGGCTTGTTAGGTCTCAGGATGTCTCTCCAGGGAGAGTCACGGGCGGAATGACTTTCCGAGGAGAGTCGAGGAATCCACGTAAGCGGCTCCTTCCTCGGTGGCTCAGTGACAGCTGTCCTGGCGAGGTCTCAGGCTGGCAGCCCGGACTCTTGAACATCCGCCTAGCCCCAGCAGCTCTTGGGGTGACAGACGTGACCAGCGGTTGCTGTGGCCAGTCAGCTGGAAGGCCAGTCCTCTGTGCGTGCCCGGTTTCGAGAGCCTTCATTCACTCACTCGTTTGCTGTGTCAGGGAGAGGCCCTGAACCCTCGCCGTGCTCCAGAGCCTAGAGGGGCAGAGGAGCGGCATGGTTCCCCCCCCCGCCCCCGGTGGACAAAGCGTCTACAGCCGTGTCCACCAGCTGTCAGCGCTGGCGACAACTTCATGCCACCCCGCCCTCCCCACCGCGACTCCGTCCCCTCGGCGCACACACTCCGGGTCTTGCCCACAGCAGGGCTGCGGGACACAGTCACTGCCCTGCGTGGGCGCTGGCCTTGCTTCAGCCCAGACTCGTGGGCCGTCCAGTCTGGGGACAGCGATGTCCCCTCCACAAGTCCTGACGGGCTTCATCTCCTCTTTGCTCGTTCCCCGCTCGCTTGAGGCTCTCCCCGTCAGAGCCATTCTGCTTCCCGCAGGAGTCCCCGCCAAGACCTTGAAGTCCTCCTCGAGGGGACTAACAGGGTCCCCGATTTCGCTGGATTCTCTCCAGCCCCACCCACCTTCAGGCTTTGTCCCGCGGCCCTCCCGCACTCAGACCTGTTCTCTGAGGTCCCTGCCGTGAGGACCTTCACAGGAGCCCTGGGCCGTCCCCACCTGTGTGGCTGGGTACGCGTCCTCCGGCCTACCGGGTCACAGCTGCGGCTCTCAGTGAGTCTATCCTAAAGCAACTACGCTCTAAAAATTGGCTTCTTGTGAGTGCTTGGGCCTTGGTGTTGCATTCTGCCCACCTCGCACCGTCTTACTGAAGGTTCTTTCTAACATATCAACAGCGAAAGAGACTGAGGCTCTCACTTCCCCCGTTCACTAGCCCTGACTCCCAGCAAATGCGTTATTCCTCCAGGAGTCAGTGGAGGGTCCAGAAGAATTCGAGCTGAAGGTTTTCGTGCTCACTCTGGGTCATTTCGTAGCATTCAGTTTTCTCCTGTAGAGAAAAAGTATTGGTTTATTTATTTGAGAGAGAGATATAGAGAGAGAGAGATCACAAGCAAAGGGGAGGGGCAGAAGAAGAGCCCGATGCGGGACCCAATCCCAGGACCCTGGGATCATGACCCAAGCCAAAGGCAGACTCTTAACCAACTGAGCCCCTGAGGAAAAGAATACTTAGAGAAACCCCACTCGCCTTGTAAAAATTTATGCTACCAAAATTTCAGTAATTCAACATAAGGTACCAGATGAAGAGATTGTTCTCAAAACACCCAAATGCTCTGTGAGACGGAATAAAGAGCAGAGGGGACAGGCGTGAGGGTGTGCTTCCAGCACCTCTTAGGAGTGGGTGTCCACAGAAACGCTGGCAGCCACAGGGAGGCCCACCTGCTCTCGGGGGGATAGCAAAGTGCAGAAGGGACGAGGGGGGACCACTCTCCCCACAGCCGCAAGCTACACCCCGGGAACGGGCAGGGGCAGCCAGGACACCGGCTTCTGTGCTGGGAGCAAGATGACGGGAGCCCAGGAACAACCAA